ATTTCAGTGAACCACCTCAGTAGGGATTCCAGGAGTGATACCTCACTTCTAAAATGGCTTCTTTACATAAAATCATGTTCTCTAATAAAGCATTACACTTTGATGACAGCGCTTGCAATACTTTTGTCCTCAGTGGTAGCAGATGCCACTGAATGATGGCATGCTGAAAAAGATTTTGTATTAAACATGTTATTTTCAAGTTTTAGTTTCTGTACAGTTCCTTGATTGTAGGTGTTACACAGTATAGCTGTGGAGGAAGTTGTGATAACTTCACATAACCGTAGAAGATGAGGCTGAGAGGAGACCTTGAAAAGCCATCTTGTGCATCCCCAGGGTAGGACCAGAGTCCCCTAAGCCACAGCTGTTTTAGCCAGCCAGCTCCTGCAAACCTCCATTAATGGGATTTCATAGCCTGCCCAAGCAATTAATTCCTGCCCTTAACTGTCCTTTTGGTTAGATGATTTTGGCTAACACTTAATCTCCCTTGCTGCAATTTAAGACCATTACCCCATGTGCTGTCCCAGGTGGACATGGAGAATGATTTATTATGTAAATTTTCACATCAATTTTTAAAATATATTTGAAGACCGCTTTTATGCCCCTCTTTGGTCTTCCCTTCTCCAAAGTCACATGTAAAAGATAAAAGAAAACTAATGAACAGAGGTTTAATTAGTTCCATGTAGAAATTTTAAAGCTATATTCTAAAAATAAAATACTTGGAAAGAACATCAGTAAACTATATTACTCAGGAGGATAGAAGGAGTAATAGCTTGCCAGCGTGGTTGCATAACAGAGAAATAGGAACTTTGCAAAAGGTCAAATGAACATTACCACTGAGCAAAAAAGCAATGCTTTCTCTGTATCTCCTCTTATAAAAAAATCTTCAAGATTGATGAAAAGAATAAAGGTACATATGATTGAAGTTATTAGACCCATTTAACTCTCACTGAACTAAACCAGAGCTTTGCCTGCTTAAAGACTACAGGAAGGATGCTTTTGGATTTAAGGACTGGATCGAAACTTACAAGCTAACCCTTGGTCTTCCTTGAGACTTCCTTTGTGATTTTTGGAAATTACCTATTGATAAAACTAGCAGTAGCTCCACTTATTTCTCTTGAACTCTTCTCATTTTGTTTTTTATAGATGACAAACCCTTTAGGATGGCGGGCTCTCTGTAGCAAAGCATGCAGGACTCCACCATAGGAGGAGCCAAAGTCAGCAGAAACTTCTGACTGTGACTGCATCACAAAATGCAACACCAGGCTACTAACAAGGAATTGTCATGTACTGGATAGATCCCATTGCAAGAGATGTTAAACGTAACTTCAAACTGATTGACTGTGTCTGTTGGTAATGTTGGATTATGATTATCTTCATGGGATGAACAGGTTGTTTTATAATTCAACACTGTAAAAGCAACAAATCTCCAACCCAAAAGTCCAGAGTATTAGAGTGAAAATCTAGTTACTTTTGTTTCCTGATGGCTATTTTAATAAGTGATATATGGAGAAGCAATATGCTAGTGCTGACCTATGAAAAACATTAAACGTTGAGATTGTGAGCAAACATAGGTTCTTTAGTGCTTTTCTCTAGATGTCTCTGTGAAGCAGGGAAGTGCATGAAATAAAGAAACATAATTTTACATTTTACAGACAATAGGTTGATGATAACAAAGACTCAGAAAACGTCTACATGCTGTGCCTAAGCTAGCTCAGGTATCCCTGCAAAGCTGTGGAGACACAGCTGAAGGAGTTGCTTAAAGTCAAGAAAGACATCCATATGCCACAACATGGAGCTGAACTGATGATTTCAGGCAAAAATCCAGAATACTATTTTTGTCACAGCAAAGCTACTGCTGTCCAAAATTATAGCACCATGTCCCATGCTGGAAAATAAACATATGTGGATTTACCATTCGTGATTGGATGTCTTGACAAGCTATGATTTATAGATAACATTTATGCTATTAACACTGCTTTCCTTTATTGTGATGAGAAACTGGATTATCACATTGCAAGTTACAAGGTTTCCTCATGTTTTTTTGTTGCATTTGCCTCATTTTCTGCATTTGACATTGGGACAAATTATTACTGATTTTCCTACACACAAGTAGGACAAGAATCAGGTCCTACCTCATCAATCTTTACATATGGATCTCCACCTCTTATTGGCAGCTAATCAGTTGTACTCAGAATTTGGTTGTATCTATTCCTTTCTGTGCTCTCATTTACAGCTCATTGGATATTTTGCCTGTTATTGCGGCTCAGTCATACTCTCCCCCTCAAAATCCATCTATTTTACCTGAAACAAAGAAAACATCTAACACATAAACCAGCAGAAACCCTGGCAACAGAAGTGGCAGGCTTTATTCTGTAGGAGGCTGTTTTTTTGCTTCCTATGCATGTATCCAACCTGAGCCCCTGCGCTGTGCATCGTCCTGTTTGGTTGAGCTACAGTTCCATTTACTTTGGTTGCCTTCCAGAGAAAGAATCTGCTCCTCAGAAATGCTCTTGGATCCTTCAGAGAGAAAACAAGAGCATTTACATCCCCTTGGAAGTCAAAGTGAGGACACACAGCCATCCTCTGGATCAAGACTGTGTTAATGACACTGCATGTGCTACCCATGCACACGCAGCAGGGTTATTTAAAAAACTGCAGATGGTGACTCTGATTCACTTAGAGGCTCACCTTGCTCTTCTGACTGACAAAAAGGAACATTTTAGGCTTAGAGCCCTTAGCATCCCCTCTGTCTTGCAGGGCATCTCCTATGTTGCCAGGTAAATTCCACCGAATAACCAAGCTGCTGTAAAATTAAAGCTACACCCTACCCACAGGACAGGGGGAACTTTAAGACTTCTGAATTGTAGGAAGAAATCCGGTCTCCAAATAAAATAAAGCAAGGTTTTCCCCAAAGTGCTTAACTAAAGGGTATCCATGCCACACTCTTATTTTTCATCCTTTTTTGACCTTTAATTTAATCTAAGTACTCAAGCAATTTCAGCTGTGTTTTCTTCTCAACTTCTCCCACTTCAGGCCACACACACAAAGATCATTCTGTGACTTGACACCCCTCCTTTCTTAAAATCTTATGGTGAGGAGAAAAAAAAAAAGGATGTTATTTTAAACAACCTCAAACTAGAGTTTTTTTGTCCATTAGGGTACTTATTTATTCGTTTCAATACATACCTTTTTTACATTGAAAATTACAGCTTTTACAGATTCTTGTAAATGTCTAGGTATGAAAATGGCTCTTTTTCAAAAATGCGCCTTTAGATCACTAAAAATAATTTACTTTTGTTTACATTTTCTTTGTGTGTAATTCAAAGGAATAATATGTATATTTCCTGCTCATCCCCATCTTTATTGATCTATGTTCTTTCATTTTTAATCTATCTAAAAATGTATTTATTGCTGATAAAATGGTAGTCAAGACACACTACTCACCTCTTCACACATCACGTATATCAGCAGTGCCTCAACCAACCTTACCAATGTCTGCTAACCTTCAGCAATAAGCATCACTTCTGGAAGCAAGAAGATACAAGCAGTCCCTCTAGCAGGCTGGCGTTTGAGTGACAGGCTAAGTTTGCCAGTCTTATCTACTTGTCCCAGTTCTAAACCAGGTTCATGATGGGTCATTAGATTCACAGCATCCAGGCCTGATGCCACTAAACTCATCTAATGTGAAGTTGTATTCGATGTATTGCTGTATTTATCTCCATATATTCTGAATTAGTGATTTCAGAGAGCTTTTTCTTTTATAATTATATTCTTGCTTATGAAAATAAAATTTGTTTTGGGAACTTACTCTGCCACAACATTTTAGGGTTTTATGCAACACATGAACCTCTCTCCAGCCGCTACTCATTTCATTTCTTTGTAGCACTGTAAGAGCAGTAGGGTTAAGTTCGCTAATCGTTGAAGGGTCAAGTCACTGACACGCCAGCTGCTTTTTCATACTTGGTGACCTCTGGTTGCTGAGCCAGATGTATATATAAGGCACACAACAGGCTCTACCTGCTAGCTACTTGAAAATTGAACTACTGCAATGATACTCCCAAAGCAAACTTTACTTTGGTTTGGCATGAGGTACAAGGCAATTCAGCAATTGGCTCTCTCTGAAAGTTCTCTTTTCCTTGTTTTTTCCTTCCAAGAATGTTAAAAAAAAAACGTTCTCCACTTTTAAATTACTGTTCACTCACCAAAGCGAATAGCCCTCATACCGAATGTATTTCCAGTGAACACAGCTCACAACACATCAGTAAATTTTAAAAAATCAAGATGGCAGTAGTCTCTCTGAAGGAATATATCATGACATCCTAGAACATGAACATTCTTCTGTCAATAAATTTATCTTAAATCCTTCTGAGGGGTACATGTAAGGCTCTTATATTAAACTGCTGTCCACTGATGTGGAAACTGAAACAAAGTTAAACTGAAACAAATTTTTTGACCAAACCGTTATCACCTAAATACTATCAGGAGTCACATTAGTACTGTATTTTACCATACAGGTGGAATTTCCATACACTTAGAAGAAGATTAGAATTCTGGGTTTTTTTTCCACAAAATCCTTCCTCTGCAGGCAATACACTGTCACAGGAAAAAGTTTCATTAACAGTAGAGGATGGAAGTAGTTCAAAAAGGTGAGTTATTTTCCACTGTTTATGCACTAAATGCATGCGAATTACAATAGATAGGCCAAACGATTTCTCAAGAAGGACACATTGACATCTCTGGACAGTAGCAGCAGCCTCTGAATTTTCACTTCAACTACTGCTTAGAAATGACACTGTCAGAAAGGAAACACCTACTGTGCGCCTTCACTTGCCTTCTGATCCCTTATTAGTTAACCCTGAAGTGCATATGTATACAGCCTTAATCCCCAAGTGAGTATCTGGACCAGGGGAAATCTGGAATTAATTGTGGAGTATTTTGGTTACTAATGCAGCTGTTACAAGTGTTTGATTTGGCAAGCGAACAGAAAAGGCACTGCATACCAATTTCGTGAGCCACTGTAAAAGCTGCATGGAGGCCGTCATCTTCAATCACTGCACAGCTGCGCTCAGGAGAGCATATGGTCCCAACGTCTGCCATTCCCAGAGTATCACATGAATGATGCCCACATAAATCCTGTCCAGGAAGGAAAAAAAAATAAAAATCATTAAAATAAATTTTTACACCCATAGGTAACAACAGGTTAAAGTCACCATCTCTTTGCAAACAGCAGAACCTGGATAAAAGTATCAATATAAGCTTCCATCCAACGATGTCAATGTAGTTTAGAAGAACGATCACCCAATCCCACCCCTGGTAAAGCCAGTGGGAGTATTTTATTTGACTTAATAGGATTTGGATATGTTCTGTAATTAATTATTGTTAGTTACATTTTTATTTCTGAAATGCATACAGAGGCTCAAGCTTGCATTGAGTTGGATACTCAAAATACATGCCGTAGAAGCATTTTTTTCATTGACAATAAAAATAGAATATTCCCTTTATTTACAGAAGGTGAACCAAGGTGCCGAGAAAAAGCTCAGATTCCTAATCAGTCCTTAAAACAGAGATCACCTTTCTTCTCCAAAGGCAAGTCCTATACTTGCACGTAAAGAAATGAGATTGTTATATATTAAACCTCATGTCACATCTGTCAAGTAGTACAATGATTAATAATGTATTACCCAATATACCAAGTATTTAAGCAATTCTTAGGGGTTGCTTAAAGACTCAGTGATATGACAGAGTGTAAAATCCCTTGATTCCCAGTCTTACTAGTGCAACAATTTGATCATGTTTCCTACTTGTAGATATGGAGTGTCTCCAAAAACCACGCAGGTAGCATTACATTTTCTTATTTCTGTTCCAGGATGATAATGATAATGATGAATGCAGCTTTGGTCAGACACAGTAGTTTAATCATAAGCAGTAACTTTTCAGTGCTTCTGCTGAAGCAGAGGAAAGAATACTAGTCCATGTGCATGCTTTTTTGGATGAAAAGGAAAAGTACGTACCATGCTATTTGGAATACTTCAATATTTCATTGTGGTGGAATGAAATTGTCACTTCCAAGTCATGACAGTATTATCAAATGTTATTATCAAAATGATCAAAGTGTACCTTTTTACCCTTATCTTTTAAGACTCTCCTCTTCCCTTCAGATCTCCTTTTATAATGAATTTCTTTTATGAAGCCTTTCATAATTAATCATCTGAATAACAGATATCCTGTATGAGGTTTCAGATCAACAATGTTCACTGATTATGATAGTTTCAGATTTAGGCAAACTTGAAAATGCCCAAGATTCAAATGCCACTGAAGTCAAAGAAAACCACACTGAGTTCACAGGTACTGTGACAGAGCATCTCTTTACCAAAAAAAGAGTGTATTTTTAGTGTATTTTTTTTTCCACGATGAAATAAAGGAAATTTGAAGTTAAAATTACTTAGCATTATTACATATATGGAGCAAGAATTTTGGGATCAGTTCTGGATTCCAGGTGTTTGGGAACTCTTTTTGATTAAGTGCACTCTTGGTGCTACTTAATGTCAAGATTTCAATGACACAGTACCAATGAACAAAACTGCCTCACAAGAAGTGAAGGAATGAAGTTCAAAAGTATTTCAGTTCCCAGATTTTCACAGGTATAATCCATAGTTTAAGAAAAACTTCCCTTCTGCAGCAATTCAGATAATATGCAGACAATTTTCTCTCTAACCCCACTGGTTCCCACCCCAACATCCAATTAGCTCTCAAGACTTTGCTTCTGGCTCTGCATGGGTTATGGGAAAGTACAGAATAAGGATGACCATTTGCACGTACTTTAAAATAAATGCAATTTTTTTCCCCAGTTTTATTTAGACAAATAAACTTCATATCATTTTCAGCATCTCTGGACCACTGTTGGAAGAGGCCCTAAGTGAGGTCATGTTATTATAGCGTCAAACATCTGGGGCATATTCAACAAGGAAGGTACAGTCCTTAAACTCCTATAACTTTTGCTTGCCTTCATATTCATTTATCCCTTTATGTATCACTTCTGAATCTGGCCCTTTCAGTATAAGGGTGCATTTTACACAGAGTAAACTCTATGTAAATATAACTGTAAATGGTTTACCTACAGCAACCTGAGTAACAAAACTCAGGAAAAAATCATGCACATAGTGCCAAAAAATACCTTTTCATGGTGATATAATTGGTCTAAATGAGTGTAAGCTGTATAGGAAGTAATATACCTTTATACTAGTGCAATCTGAACTGAATCCACACAAGCAGTTGAACTGAAATTGTTATACAAGTACCAAAAAGCACAGAAATCAGACAGAAGGCAGCTTACTGGAGGAGGTCTAAATGACTCTCAGGTTGATAGTGCCAATAATAGTATAAAATGCATTAATTCAGGCCTTGTCTCTGCATGCAGATTCTGTGCCATTTGGTCTTTTCTTGTATTTGGATGTCATTATTACGTAGATATTTACATCAGTACTGCTCCCAGTGTGGGCACAACTATATCAGCACACAGATGTCTTAAACTGGTGCAATTTATTCCATTGGCATGCAAGAAGAAGCTATGACAGCAATATGGCCATGAGGCTATACCAGCAGACGCAACCAGACCTCACAATGTTTCTCTGGATTTGATGACACATGTATAATTAAAAGAATACAATCTTTCTAAACAGGCAATCTCATAAACATCCTTAGAGTTACTTCTGATGGGATGTGTGGAGTATGGAAAATGACAACAAGGATGTTAAACGTAAGCAGGCCTTCCAACTCTTGGCTGATTAGTAATCCCATCCTCAAAATTTCCAAAACTATGCACAAGATTATGTTATGACATCTTCATTAGACATCAAAAAAATAGCTATGTACATATGCAAGCACTAAAGGACATAGCAATGTTTGGTTACTTTGCATATGTTACATGTTACTGACATCACACCACACTGCATGCCCAGGTTTTCATCAGAAATCCAGTCAAATCAAACTGCTGTTCTTCTGTTTTCATCATCTCCCCGAGTATGACACATATCCACACATCTCAGCATCCCACTAGTAACTTTCAAGGAAGTGCTCATTTGCATAACAGTTGTCTAGACAAAACAAAGCAAGCTTTACTCTTTCTCTATGAAATACCTTAACTTCATGTCACATAAAATTCATTTCTTGAAGCCCTGTATTAAAGGCTGCTCCTAGGAAATTGCACAGAAGAAAGTAAGTGATTCTGAAAATTTCTTATCTGTAAAATTACCTAGCTCCTCCAGCACCCCACAGACAGCTGGAAAACAGCTGTCCTCAGATGCTGTATGACCAATGTTCTCCTAAAGGAGAAGAGAGCAGAGCGATCGCGCTGTGGTCAGACAGAGGTGGACAGTGATAGAGTAAAGCCTCATTCCCTTCAGCCAGCCCCGTGCCCACATCCGTGCTGCCTCCCCAGCAGCCTGAGCAAGGCAGTGTGGGGAGCCTGGCAGACGTCAACCAAATCCCAGCTGGACAGCGGTGCAGGAGGCTTGTAAAGGATCTTGGAAACAAGGACAGGAAATATCTTCTGGTGTTAGATTCTTTGTATGAAGCTGTTACTGAGGAGCGATGTCTACAGGTTGCCCATCTGCTCCTAGAGTGGGGCATGCGTTGGCTACGCTTTGAACAGAGAGCATGTGCTGAACCTTCTGGTTTTCGTTGCAGACTTCACTCCTCAGTGACTGCATGCAGATGCTTTTTTTTAAGCCAATGCTGAAATTGTCAATGATCGCTTAGGCAGATTACTGAAGACTTGGCTCCATTATGTTCTCAACTCATAGTGTCATTTAATTCTTTATTTCTCTTGCCTTTGCATGATTTGCACTTTAATATATTGCTATTCATAGCATCACATAGTATATATTATAAACATAATTGAAGCCTATCAAGTGGCATCTCTGAGACAAATATTTTTAAAAGTTTGCTGTCAGGTCAACTCACCATTCCCTAGCTACATGGTCCTTCTCAACAGCATGACTTCGACTGATGATATTCAAAATCACACCTGTTCACACTTCCACTGATTTAAATCTTTATGGCAAAATTTCTTTTGACTTAAACCTCCTGTAGCTGTACTGGCTGTGGATTATTTTTTACCAGCATCAAGAGCTGTATTTTTAGTTTTCTTGGGCAGTCCTGGAAAGTAGTCTCAGATTTTATGAAGTAAAGTTTCTGGGAGTACATTAAAACTTTTTATTTCCCTTGAAAATATTTTTTTGGGGTTAAAAACAGGCTCTGATGTAATGATGCAGTCTAAAAAGTCTGTGTGGGTCTCTTCAACTTTTCATACTCCAACTCAAGCACTAAGCAAGCAAGGACTCACATGATACTTAAAATCAGTTACCAATGATTATTTTACTCTGGTGTGTGCTTTCTATTTAAAAAGTTAATCACTTAGATCTGCATACTCACAAAATTGCCTCCAAATAGCAGCAGAAACTTAGAAGCAGAAGCTTAGAAGCGTTTCTTGGTATTTCTAAAGAAGGAATGCAGAGTCTGGCCCTTGATCTGCATTACAGTAGTTTCAAAATAGAAGAATGACTAGGAAATGCATTTGCTACACAGGAGGCAATAGATGTTAAGCCTTAAACTTTGGCAAAGGAATGACTTAGTAAAACTGAGCTGTACATCATAAGACTAGTAGTTAATTAGACAGCTTATTAAAGGCCAAGTTTTCTTGGCATTTGTAAGTACATCAAGAGCAGCTGGCTGTTTGCCATGTATATGTGGCATTGTTGTGAATGAAGATACTGTCATGGCATCCTGCTGGCACAGTTAATTTATATTACCTGAAATTCTTTTATTTGAGCAGTAGGCTTAAAAACAAGAATAAACTGTTTACTGAAACCTGATATTAGGCCAGACCCCATGGACTGGTTCCAAAACAGGATTTACACACCCATGCGGACAGTTTGGTGGAATGTAAGGGCAGAAGAACAAAACTGGCTCATATATCCTCTAGTCTTTGAGTTATCTATCCTTCATAGGGCTTGCAGTCTGTGACCTTATGGGCTTCAAAGTGCCAGTTTTACAGTCCTGAGCAGCTTAGCACTTATACTAAATCTTGACTGGGGTTGATATGCTTAGTGTTTCTCCATCTTTGCCCCTGAGGG